ACGACTTTGTGCTCGCTTCGGAGCAGGTATATGTACTCTAAGTGGCTATGTTCGATCATGGTATATACCGACCGAATTAAATACGAAATACGATTGTTTAGGTCGATATGCATGTACATACATTCTTTGTATGCAGTTGCTTTATACGAACTTGGTAAAACGTTATTATTCCGCTTGAAGCTATCGCGCGATCGAGCAAATAATTCAGAACGATGTCGCGAATCGACCGGAATTGACCAATTAACAATTAGACAGTACGTATTCGTCAATAACCTGAGTAATCAATTTTTTATCGTTTAATAAATTTTATCGTCTATGTATCGATTTTCTTCGAGCAACGCCAAACGAGAATTCATCGCGTGGTATAGCGGAATTAAACAAACGGTACATTCACCTACAAAGCCGAACAACCATACGATTTTCTGAGAAGAGACCCTTTCCGAAGCCCGATTCTTGATTCCGCTTCTTTTCAAACGTGAATTAGATTAGAAGCATCGTTTATTTTCGCGATATCGAACAAACGTATCGGTGAAAGAAGACTAGCCTGATCTACGTTCCTGACGCGGCCTATATCCTTGCTCGATTGGAAACGAGAGGTCAACGTAGCTCTAGGCGAAACACGATCGAACGATCGCTTTCTTTCGAACGATATTCTTAAAAAGCCGTGCTTATTTTCAGCTATCGCCAGCAAGTGCACGCGTACGAACGTCGAAACTGTCGTACTTGTACGAGCAATAGGCTCGTTCGAAGAAGTTCGTCGTTTTGCGATGTAAGATATTTTTATAAATATTTCCACTGTTCCGCGCTCTTTCAAACTTAACACGTATATCGCACAATTTATAACGGTTTATACGCGATCGATTCTAGCCGAACGTATCGGCCAAATATGTATATACAAAATTTGAGTCTTTTCTTTTCTTCTTCTTTTCAGTGACTCTCGCGTTTGCATTTTTCAACATTTGCCAATTTTACCGACAGACCGAAATGGTTTGATCGTTGCTCTTGTATCTGTAGCGCGAGTAGTCGTAAACGATCAATATCGATCCGATCGCTTCATCCGGGTAAAAACAGTCCCGCATCGGTTCCATGCAAAGGCGTAGCTCGAGGAAAAGCTTTTACTTTGAGGAACGTCTCTTTACGAATAACGTCTCTTTGATAGTCAGCGGAGACGACCTTTGAGAAAAATAACATCTTCGTTCGATCCGAATAGTCGCGAAATACAAGCGATTTCTCTCAGGTGTGTAAGCGCGTTTCGTTCTCCATGAATAAACATTGGTTAGAATTAAAAAAAAAAACCGTCTCAACGCGCTACGGCCTCTTGTTATTTGTTGAAAAAAGAAACGAAAAATATCGAAGGTTACAGTTGACGTTACTCACTTTCCGCAGGCTAGAATTTGATTTTATTGTACGATGGTTTCGAAAAGCATCAGCTACGTATATACTAACGTACCAAAACCGACGAGACCACTCGTAGAATAATAAATCGTAGGAATGGTGGAATGGCTGAAAGAACAACAATGGTCGTAGCGCTTGTATATATCACATGTATGTATATCTGTGTCACGCGGATGCCCGAGCCTGAGTCATTCGCTCCCGTTCGCTCGCTCGAGAGTTCGTTGCTCATCGTGGCTTCGTACCATGCCCCGGTCCCGTCCCGTGCTCTTTCACCTACTAACGGTTGGTTTACCGTTCTTCGACTCTTACCGAACGCACCACTCTACACGAGCCGCGCTTGCACATCAAAAGGCCCGATCGAACTGACCATCGTTCTTCTTCTCAGCTGGGGATACTCGTGCAAATCGAAACGAATGTTTCCGGTTCGAGAAAGACGTTTGCAAGGAAATGCAGAAAATCGAGTCGACTCGCGGAAAGAACGAGTCGCTGCGAAGCGCAACTTCTACCAAACTCGTGGACGTTTGTTTATAGTTTCGAGTTCGGCGTTTGTTCGTGTTTTACGTCAGAGCGGCAGGCGCGTTCAACGAGTTTTACGAGGACGCGTTGTCGCTATTTTAGGTATGCGCGGTATTAGTCGATGCGCAATAAAACCGTCACTTTACGCACTCAAAATAAATCGCAGTTCGAACCATCGTTCGAGATACCGTATCCAAGAGTCGTCGGCTACAACGGTTCGTCCGAATTCCAAGACACGTGAAACGATAATCGCGCATAGTTGGAGAGCAACGAATAACCAAACTTTCAAATAGTTCTATAATTACGAAACGTTTCGCGAATGCTCGAAATATATCGCGTGCCACTTTGTTCGATAGCTACGATTATGTATACGTAACGTTTCGTTCGGTTCTTTCCTCGGTTGCCTCGAAGAACGCGGACTTTGTGAGACGATTGTCGAGAGTTCCTGGAAGACGGTGTCGGTCAGTCACGATTCACGATTCTCGACACGACGACGACTCATCGACTAACTCGACGACTTACCGTCGTAGAAATATTGTAACATTACGTAAAAGAGAACGCTAGTGTCGAGCTTAAACAATGTACGTCGCGATCAGAAGAAAAAAGTAGGAAACAACGAAGCAACGCGTGCACTTTGACGCAAGTTAGAACGAGGTAGATCGTAAAGGAAGTTAAAAGAAATTCGTACTTTCCTTGTTATCGTTGGCGAAGCGGTTTCACGCGACTGCGCATCATTCGACTCGTCTTTGGTGTTGGTCAGCTACGAATATCGCGTGGTCGACGTGGTATCCAATTTTAGCGGGTTTCGTCAAGACCGTGGAACACGTAGACGTTGGAACGGCTACGAAAACGCATCGAACAAAAGAATGCACTTTTCTTCGTGTTCTCGTCCCCAAGGATCGACGAAACGACGACGACAACGACGACGACGGCGGCGACGACGGTGACGACAAGGAACCACCGAACGACGGATGCCCACTTCCAACTCCGACTATACCACGACCACGCGACCTGCTCGTCATTCGAGCTTCTCTCCAAAAACACGGCAGAAAGAAGAGCGCGACGGTTCGAACCGTACGAGACAAACGCAATGAAACGCGTCACACAAGTGGCAACCGGCGACTCCCGATCTCTTTCTCTCGTCTCCTTCTCTCTATGCCCGCCGAGATCCTATACGTACACTATACACAACGTACAACCCAAGAGAAACTTCGTCCAGAAAACACTAGCACGATCGGAGGGGAGGAGGATCGAAGTAGGAGGAGAAGACCGAAAGTGCGCGTGACTACCCCGACCACGAACTACGAACTACGAACCACGAACCACGGACTGCGAACCACGAACCACGGACTACGAACAACGAACCACGGACTACGGACTGCGAATCACGGATCACGGATCACGGACCACGGACCATGGACTGCGGATTACGGACCACGGACCGTGACGCGACGATCTAGCCAGCCTACCCTCGTCACCTGATCACAGTTACCCACTTGTGCGCTACCGACGTCTCGGTATTTTCAACCCCGCCGTCGTCGTGTACTCATTATTTCTTTGTCTCTTTCCTTCCGCTCTCTATACAAGTATAATCAAACCCAAACGTTCACCGTCCAACCAATCTTTCCAATTTAATTTCTTGGTTAACGGCACCGATAGGATTATCGATTAACGCGCTGATCGACAAACCTTCCGCTGATATCGGCTTCTAAGGGTGGGTAGGGGGGTGTCCTCTGAAACGTCCACATCTTTGTTCACGCGGCACTTTCCGTAAGAAAATTCAACGCAAAACAATACGTCGGTGGTATGCGAGTACTCTAGCGAATGCTACAAACGTTATACGAAGACATTTGTTAAAAACTTATTTCTTCGTTTAATCTTGTAAATCTGTTTTGCAGATGAAGAGTTTACGCGAGTAATGGTAGGCAGATTAACAAAAGATATAGCGGGACGGTACAGTGCGACGAGGCGCTCACATTGCCCTCTATCTAAGTACATATAATACATCGTCCACCTCTTCACGTGGGAATATTGATTTCGCCGCGTCAGCTGCTCGCTCAGTTGCTCGACTTTGCTTGCCTATTCGTCGACCGTTCGTCCTCCGTTGTTCGCCGCGAACGCGCGCGCGTTTACTCGCCGCTTGCCCAATCTAATTCGTACACTTGTTCTACCACTTTATACGTTAATTTGCATTGCTCATCTACCACGTGTTTCCCACCTCGCAAACGTCACGCGATTATCGTTCGTTTAACGAGCCTGTTTCTATGTCACGATCAATTATTACCTTTTACAAAAAATAGGATTTTCGCTTTTTTTAATATTTACCGTACATGCGAATATTTCAACCGTACGAAACGTTCTAAAATGTATCGTTGATTTACATTTTTAACGCGGCGATTCTTCGTATTTAATTTTAGGGATCATCGACGTTACCTAAACTTAACTTATATTTTCCTATGGAGAAAACAGATTGATTTTCAAATACATTGTGGAAAATAACCTGTAAAACGCGTGTGGAGCCCTGGTCCGAGGTCAAGCGTGAATCATCTGTCGTGATTCAACGAGTGAAATGAAAAATTATTGGTAATCGCCATCACGTGGAACCAATTAATTTTAATAACGATTTATACAAGGTTATATAACATTACTAGAGTATTAACTGCATGTTAACGACGGTGAAAACACTTTCTCCTTTAATTCCAGAGTTATTCCTTTTTTTAAACATATTTTTTGGAGATTAATTCGAGTGAATGCAAAGAATAAGGGAAACGATCAACGAGAGAAAGATTTTATCTTTTAATTTCATCGAAATCGTGTTAAAATAACGCGATGTTATAGCATGTGTCGTAATTCTTGTTCTTAATCGCGACATTCTCCAAGAAGTCCTTCGATCGTAGTTTCCAACTTTTCTCGATAAGTTTGTCGGAATAATAAATATAGAGACAATATAACGAAGAAATTATGCGTTCCTTCGACGATTTCTCTTACCGTATAATCGAAGAACAAGATTCCGACACTGGTAAATTTTCTAAATTTTGTAATTTACCAGCCATTCTCCCGCTCCAAATTTACACGAATAACGATACTAACCTGAAACATAAAAAAAGATCATACGTAATGATAACTTTATTTACGTATATATGTATGTGTCTGTGCGTGTGCATATCGGCATATCGGCGTATTTTAAATCGGTACAAAATCAAAATTTGATATATCGAGTTTATTGCGGCGTGTCCCGAGTTTTCCTCGATTCCTTTTTGACATACTTATAGGGTCAGACGCACGAATATAGACGCACAAAATGGAAAGAGGGAGAGGTTAGAAAATGAGAAGTTAGGTGACATAGGCAATGAAGGAAACGTTACTTAGCGAGAGGAAGTGTTTTGGCTACCGCTAGTAGCTCGTCCTATATTTCCGATATGAATATATTACAAGAAGTAGCATAGTGTTATTTCGTCGGACCATTCTTTCACACTGTCCATTCGTGAGTATGATCAATTTTGACATTTTTAAAGATAACGATTTACGATCGTAATCGTTGTTTAAAGAAATGAAAAATGACGTCGAATTTTGTCTTATTTATCGATAGAAAAGTTTGCTCGTACGGTAAAATTCTCTTTTCTCTATTCGGTAGCTGTGTTGCCACGGTAACAGCCTAGATTCGAGAGGTTGGGAGATGCGAACCCACAGAGCAGAGACAAAGGGTAGCGCGTGCGCTCATTCGTTGGTCCGCCTACATATTTGTACATCTACACGCTTATACACGTACACGGATACTGGTAAAATCTGTCCAGAAGAAGAACAGAAGAGAAAGAAGAAGAGAACCATTGTCGCTCGATCGTGTCCTTTTGTTACATATTTCCGGTAGCAGGGCTTACAACGGACGTAAACAATCCATTGAAATATACGGGAATGTTCCCGTCTTTGTACACGCGTATAGCCGACCAGTTCCGATTTAACAAAGTCGACGAACACTCGACCAATTTCCTTTCCCTGAAAACATACTTGTCGCGCGACTATTCATTTTCAATTTGTGCTCGGCTAATAATTTCCGCGTTCTCGTATCGGATCGCTTTTCGAACATTTGTTGCCTACTGCGATCGATGAAAACCAGGTCACGCTTTTCCTCGTATCAAGAAGACAGGTAAAGTCAAACGAGGCCATTCGTCCTCGTAATCACGCACGAACAATCTTGCTAACGTTTTACTTTAAATAGCCAACATTAACAAATTTAAACGACCGCTTGCATAAATATGCATATTTATCGCATAATCGACGCGATATATTCGCAACACATATTACTTTAAACAAGAGACTTTGGAAAATATATTATGTCGTGCTTAATGTAAAGAGAATTCAAAGTTCAAAGATCGTACCACGTGTAATGCCTTGCGCAAAATATTGTAACCTCGCTGATCGTGCAACGTTTCTCCAGGTATTACTTGTATATCGTTCGACGGATAGAAAGTTTGATTACTTGATAAAATACCGTAAAACAAGAACTAGTCGGTTTCGCGTCAGTTAACGCCGATTCTTCTAGATACATATTTTTCCAGATTTTGCAAACGTATTTTCTCGAAAAGTATTCGAAAAGTGCACGTAGGAATTTCAAGAAATTATCGCAAGATTAGTGAAAGGCGACTATTGTAAGATTTCGAAAGAAGATTTCACTTTTAATTCTACATTACGTACGATACGAAACGAGAAGAGGCGAGAATAAACGAAAGAAGGGAATGGGTACTTGATATCGTCTAATATAAATAAAATACGAATACAATCGTAATTTTTTAAATTTCTACTCCTTTCTTTATCGTTCTCATATTTTGAATACTTAACCTTGAAACTGATATACATATTGATATTTTCACTGATGCTTGACCAACGAAAAAAGTGGGATTATCGCAAGAATTTCGAGCGTGACCTGACCTTGTCCTAAATTTCATTGCTCCTGAGCCTTTCGAGAATTCAGCAAACCAGCTCCCTCTAGCTAGGGCAGTGTTTTTCAAACTGCAGGATGTGACTCATTGGAAGGTTGTAAAATCGATACAGTAGTTTATATAATACACACGCGCGCGCGCGCGCACTACAATAAAATTATCTGCCTATAATACGGCAAAGAACGAATGATCGAAGAAAATATTACGAAATGAAATTGATCAGAAAATCATGAAACGTACGTAAGAGATATTTTATTTGAAAGATTATCAATATTTACTTTGTACTATTTAGAGGATTTCGTTGATATGAAATCGAGACTCGAGAGAAACAATTTGAAATTAGGAAAGATTCGAATATATAGGTACGATAGCAAGATCGAAATGAAACGAAAACGCGGACAAATAAGAAACTAAATTTTCAACGATTTTAATTGATTCGGGCGTATGCATATGACACGCGTAGAACGCATTTCAGTAGATTAGCAAGCAACGGATAGCTACAGCGATGGAAAGTGAAAGTCCCTCCGTCTAGCGACCAACGTTTCGTTTCCATGTACTTTATTCGACCTGCTATGATACAACGTATCTTTGTATTATACGTAATAATATCGTTACGCGAAACACTTGCTCGGTTAAAGCAGACGATCTAGCAAGAGGTAACAACGAACAGTTACAAACAGTTTAAAACTCGTATGCCTAACGATTTTTAGAATTTATCGTAGTTGGTACCGTTAAAAACCGATTATTAAAAGCCGTTATCGAAGATACGCGGCAAAGCTATAGGTAAATCGCGTATTTTCAAACACGGCACGATAACCGTTAAAAGTATCGGACTCGTTACGCATAGGATAATGATATGATTCATACTCGTTGGTTAAACTGACCCGAAAGATAAGACTTGGCACAGGTAATGTAGCTGCACATTTGTCCTATCTTCGTCCACACAGTCTTGAACAATTCCGAATTGTACATTGATAATTGGTAACAAATCGTAGATTCCTTCTCGATCGTTTCACTTGGTCACCGTTTCTCGCGATTCAAACACATGCGCAACCTTTCGAGCGTACCGTGTCGCCTCGCACAACACTTGATCTTTTACTTGGCGATATTTGTTCTTTTCGACTGCATAATTTCTTTCTAGCAACAGTTGTGTAAGCTCCTTACCTGATTTACGTAACGTTTACGCGTTATCGAGGAAAGCCTCCATAACGCAAAAACGTCGAATAGAAATCAAACCTACCGAGGGTTGGATATCGACAAATTCTTCTTTTTCTCTAATTTCAACGAATAAAAGCCCGATAAACGTTTGTCGACGATGTAATTGCAGCGTATATAATAATAAATCTCAAACTACTTTATCGAGAGATCGTCGGTCGAGTTATCGAACGACGTTAAAAGAAAGCGCAAACGTTACAGATCTTGCTCGAACAACGTTGTAACGATACTTGTAACGTTGCAGTCGATTCCTATAAATAAGTAATTATTATCCTTGACTCTTTATTAGCTTCTGCTCATCGACACGACCTTCGCACCCGCGATTGATTACGTCACAGAAAATGTACGATCGCGCACACGATACTTACATACTTCCCTTTACCAACGCCAACGTGTTTATTTGCGCGTTCCGTTCGATCTTTCCATCCTCAAACGTGGAAGAAAAAGTAAGGTAAAGACGAGTCGGATCGTATAGCAGAGTATGTCAGTTGTATCTCTATCCATCAAGTTACATCAATTTCTTACGCACGAGAGATTGAAAGAAGAACGTCTTTTTATTCGAGTACACGGATGCGTATATCGAAGTTAACGAAATCCTTTTTCTCGCAACTTACTCGTATTCGCGACAACTGTTCGCTTTAAAAGAGCTTTACGCAGATATAGGCATCGTAGTGCGAACTAAAAACCACTATTTCCGTATCCGCCAAGGTTACGTTGTTAAAGATAAAAGCTAAACCAACAGAAACTTCCTGCTTCGATGCAATATCGATAATCGACGGCTAATTCGAACGTTATCGAGCACGCCAAAATTATCGTTGTTCAACCTTAGCAGCACGATAATATTTCTCGCAAATATGCATAGATCAGCAGCGAAAATGTTAAAATACCAAATTACGCAGCCAATTCTTTTAACGCTTGTTCCACGTTGCATATTTATATATACATTATATTAAACATTTAGTCGTTAATTAGCATCTATTGCGAAGTAGCATTCGTCGCGCAAGTAGCTTATTTCCTTTTGTGAAAAAATTCAGCAAAAACGATGTAGCTGCAACCGATCGGCTGATTTCGCGATTAAGAAATATTTGCCGCTTTGTTCCTTCGATTACACGTATAAATTTTGCCAGTGTCGCTCGTCTTTTCCTTATTATCGAAAGCCATTTAAAACTTCTACAACGAACTGTCATATAAATGTTCACTTTTACGCACGAGTCGTAAATTCTTAAATCCGTAAGTAAAGTTTTCTATGAAAAATTTCAGGACAATCGTAAGATCGAATTTATAAGGAGAAGAGTAACGTCGCAGAGTTATTTCACAAAAAAAAAAAGATTCGCTCGAGAAGAAAAATTTGGTCGCGATAGTACGAGTGGCAAAAATGATCGAGCATCGAGAAGAAAGCAAAAGCGCAGAGCTGTGTGTCACTGACACGCGGACGCGAACACGACATGCGACGCGGCGGCGAAACGATCCAGAGAATCGAAAGAGAAGCTACGAGTCAACTGCGTGACGCGATACGCTTTCGGAAAGAGGTGCACGAAACCCACCGAAATCGAAGAGGAATACTCGAATCGAATATTCGAACGACTGGAGCGCACGTACGCGAACGTAACTTGGTGACCGTCTAACCGAGTGACTGAACGATCGACTAACCGTGGTCGAACGAACGCGATCGGACACAAGCGAGTCCGAGTGGATGATACGATGAAAATAGGGGGACTCGATGTGTGCCCACACTGCCCAAGTGCCCACTATGCCCACTTGTGTCCACGCGTCAACGTATGCTCACGCACGTTTCTTGCGTATTCGCAGAACGTGCATCGACACTCCAATTAGTTACATATTCGTTTCACGTTCGAGAGTGTTCCAAATTAAAATCATGAGCATTTTCGCGCACACCTCTCCTGAACATTCGGTGAATAGGTCATCGATCATCGTTTATCGAGCCACCGTTCACGATTACGCTACTTCGATAACGGAACTATAACGTTGTCGAGATTTAAGTTGCAAATTTGACAAAAAAGCTCGATCGAATATCGACAAATTTTACCGTTATGTTCGTCAACGCGATACGAACAATCGCTCGTGAATCGCATCGCGTAATCGTGTCTCTTATAAACATCGTTACATTATGTACGTTATTTTGCATGTACGCTATACGTGTAAATGGATAATAACGTATACATGTAAATCGATATGGCATGGAATCGTATCAATCGTATCAACGATTGGTTTATGGAAAGACGATAAAACGAAGACGACGTTGGAGCGTAGCGAGGTAGAGAACCATGGTAGAGAATCAGAAGTTACCGGTTGTTTCGCGGCCCCAATTGTTGCTCCGGTGACGGTAGTTTTACCAGTGACGTGATCGGCGTGAAGGTGCACGCGGTCCTCGGTTAACTGTACTTTGGATCAAAACTCGAGCGGAATTCGTACGATCGAGCGTAAAGCTGTTATAAAATCGAATAAACGTACGAACGAACGAACACGAAAACACAACCAGTCGTCACGGATCGGTCAAAGCAGCGATACTTCGTTTCAAAGTTATTCTTTTTTCCTGATATTTTTCTCGCGGTGGATTTAAGAAAAGTTCGTACAAAGTAGAATTTGGAGAACATTACATATCGAAAATACACCAGTGTCTCCCTTATCCGAACTAACTGGGAGACAAAAGTGACTGTTCGGATAATAAAACAATCGATCATATGAAGTTTCGTTTATGCAAATACAGGTTAAGGTTAATTGATAATTTCTTTAAATATTTATGAATCCCATATTTGTTTGCCCGCTAAGTCACATAATTCTCTCGATACAAGTACGTAATTGCGTAGAGTTATTCTTTTTGTACTTCGAATTGTCGAAGCATTTTTTCGAATACCACCTTCGCTATGGTACAAGAAGGCACCTTTTCATTAGCACTTTCGTTTGCTCTTTCCATTTGTATAAAATCGTCGTTATTATCGTCTTTATCGTATCGAAACTACTACATACTACTGCATTAACATTTTTTTCCACCGTTGCTAGCATCGTAGGAATCTACGTTCTTTGGAGAATTTTCAATCCAATGTTTTTGTTTTTTCGTGTCTGTGATCGTGGCTTTTCCAACACCATGTATTGCTGTTAATTCTATCGCATTTACGCCACTTTCCTGTTCTTCGATTACGTCGTATTTCGTTTCGGTAGTTAGAACGCCGTTACTTTCGTACTAAACTCTTCTAATTAGAATTCTCTCGACCGGATAGACCAAAGAATACATTGTACACGAACATTAATAAAATATGTACATATCTGAAACGGAAAAAGGCATCTATTACCGGGAAATATTATGTACGGACGATAGAAGAGTTTGGATTTTTAAATATTTGAACAGGAGAGATCTATACCGTATACGTTTTACGCAATGTACAGCAATCGTAATTTGAAATCCTAATTGGGAATTTGAAATATCGATTCAGAAGTGATTTTTGTAGCTTGAGATTCAAGGTGCTTCCATAAAACGCGCACGACCCTGAGTACAACAGCTAGGCCAATTGATGTCGACGCTTAATATTTTAATTTACAACCTCGCTATATCGTT